AAAAAACAACCGGAAGTAGTACAGTAATATATTAAGCAAGAGGCTTAATTTTCCGGATTTTAAATAGATTAATTAGAAAAACGATCAGACACCCTTCCGGACTGTTTCACATTATGAAGAAAACGTAATATAAAATTATTTAGATGTATTCCAACGAATATGACATAAAACGTACATTTCATAATATCAACAACATCAAAATTGACACAAAGAATCTTGAATTGACATTAAAGTACAGAAAAAAAGCCGTTAGTTTTCTTCAGTGGAGCGTTACACTATCGTACAAAACTTACCGGAATACATTTTAGAAAAAAATATCCACAGCATACCTTCCAAATACACAGACATATCAGTGACACATCGTGAACACACTTCAAAATCATATTGATCGGTAGAACCAGAGGAGTCCATCTCTGGCGGCCACACGTATACATGTACGCGAGCCTATAGTCAAAAAATGTTTATTACTTGGAAATGGTTGAGATCCCCACGGTATAACCATATATACAATTGTGGAGTATAAAGAGAAGCATGCACATTTGCTTCCAGGATGGCCTTGTGGTCTGCCCCACCCTTGGAGACTTAACCCCTTGGTCATAACTTCGAAATGGTTAAGACCCCCACCCCAAAACTATATATAAAATTGTTGGGCATAAAGAGACGAATGCAGTCATGATATTAAAATTGACCCCAGGGTCTGCCCCACCCTTGCAGACTTAACCCCTGGGTCATAACTTTACAAACTGGACAAAAAGAGACGAATGCAGTCATGATATTAAAATTGATCCTTGGGTCTGGCCACAACCCTAGGGATCTAGTTTCTGAATCACAGCTCGGAAACAGTTGAGATCCCCACCCCATAACCATACATTAAATTGCTGGGCATGAAAAATCTAATACAGACATACTACAAGAATTGGCATTGGGGTCTGGCATATTCCCTTGGATCTCATTTGGAGAATATTTTGCCACGATTGCTTAGATATCCAGGTGAACGATACAGGCCCTCTAGGCCTCTTGTTATTACTTTCGCCAAGGGTGAATAATACATTATTCATATTTGTGTATATAAATTTCGTAAACTAAGATCACTGATTACACGTTGTTATTTTGACAAGTGATGGCAAAGCGTTTGGAAGTGCCACTTTCGGGCGAGGGACCGGACGCATCTGGCTTGATGACGTAGCGTGTGGCGGTGCTGCGATTGATTTAGACGCATGCGCTCACGCAGGCTGGGGCACTCATAATTGTAACCACGGAGAGGACGCAGGAGTCTGGTGTGTAAGAGGTACGTTTCAGCGGTGCTTCTGCGTCTGTGGTTATTAGTGTCTGTTCCTTCGCGTCTGAGGTAAGTGTTACCCTGGTAAAATATTAGCGACTCTCGTGGGGAGAATACCTAAATAGCTCGCACGGCAGTTGTAAGACTTACAAGCGAATTCGTGGAATATATATCCCCGCTTGCAGGAGATATTGTAGGTAAACATTATTGAGGCTAGGACTGGAAGAAAAAAAGCCTTATACCACATTAATTATCCGTAAATATGCACAAATCACTTCGGTTGGCAAACTTAGCATGAGTTGGATGTGCATACGGAATTTGGTTATATATATGTATGTAACACGAAACCCAAAGAGTGCCCGAGATGGGTTGAAAGACAGAGGAATACAAACATTGTTATCAAGTTTGAAGGAATTTGTCTGATATTTGCTGGAGTTATTAAGCGGAAGCTGCAGATAATGACGTTTCTTGTTAATTAAGGGGCCATTACTCCGCCAAATGGAGTCCGATTAAAATGGTAATCGAGCTTGGCCGAGCCCTTCATGCATTTAACCCTGTTACCACGTTTGAAGAAAATCGGTTATCATTTGTTGCAGTTATTGCACGAAAACGAAGCGTGACAGACAGACAGACAGACTGACTGACGGACAAACCCAAATTAATATCCACCGTTTCGGTGAAAGCGGGGGATAATAAGTAAAGGTTCTGGGTTCTTTGCCTAGCGGGGTCATGGAATAAAATATGACCTGTGTAAGGTTGACGCCGACGTAAGGACCAAGAAAATACTGACAAAAATACTCATCCTGAACTTTCTCTCACAAGCATCGCTGTTACCCCTGGAAACACTCGAGACTAGGTATTTTCTTGGAGGGGGAGGATGTGTCACACTGGTTAATACTAGCTTCTTTCTACTGACTTTCGGTTAGGGAGATATTCTTTTTAGCTTCAACGTTGGAGTGTCAGACTAGCAAGTCAGAGATCCCGTGTTTGATCCCTAGGGGAACAATTGAAATAACGTTACTCTCTGTGACATACGTATCATCAGTGCCATTGCGTCTGTGGTAAGTATCAGTACCATTGCGTCTGTTGTTAGTATCATCAGTATCATTACGTCTGTGGTAAGTATCATCAGTACCATTAAATCTGTGGTAAGAATGATCAGTACCACCGCGTCTGATGTAAATATGATCAGTACTACTGCATCTGAGGTTAGTATGATCAGGGCCCACTTGAATAAAACATCTCAAAGTTAAGGAAAATCTCAAGCATTGTATTGTCTATGGGAAATTTTAGACGTGAGGTAAGTATCATTGCAGTTCTGGTAATTATAAGAACATTTGCGTCTGTGGTAAGTATCATCAGTATCACTGCGTCTGTGGTAAGTTTCATCAGTATCACTGCGTCTGTGGTAAGTATCATCAGTACCACTACGTCTGTGGTAAGTATCATCAGTATCACTAGGTCTGTGGTAAGTTTCATCAGTATCACTGCGTCTGTGGTAAGTATCATCAGTACCACTGCGTCTGTGGTAAGTATAATTATTTCTGCGAATGAGGAGAGTAGACCAGAGGAGAACATTCACCTGCACCATACTAGAATGGTTGAAAATGTGAGGAAGACGAAGATTTTTAAGATATACACAGAAGTTGAACCTTCCGTGGATAAGAAAAGATGTCTAGAGCGATAATTTATAACTTTAACGAACATCAGTTTTCATACATTATTACAGTATTAAAATATGATACAGTTCGACCTATTTCGTTCTAAATGGTCTTTAAAATATGAAGTTAAATATGAAATTGCAATATAATGTTTCAAAACCATCTTTTCTTATTATTATTTTAAGCACATTTTCCTCTATTTGTATGCTCTATTTCTTACGTCTTTGTCTATCAAGTTGAAAAACTAACATAAAGTTTAGGCATACGATTAAAACAACTATTCAAAATTTCCTCGTTGCAGATGGTGACGTCATGTTAGTAAATGGCAACAACGTGAATACGGGTCGGGTCGAGGTATACCATAGCGGGAGTTTTGGAACAATATGTGACGACTCCTTCGACCATAAAGACGCCGACGTCATCTGTAAAATGCTTGGATTTCCGTAAGAACAGAACATTAAAGCATTCAGGTTGTTTTGGGGTTTTTTCATCGGGATATGAAATAAAAAAAAATGCAAACTGTATGAAAATATCAAAAAAATCTACCTCAATATTTATGATTTAATTCAATTTATTGTTTTTGTAGTTCGAAATGCTATGTCTAATTAGCTTTATTATATAAAGTAAAACCTAGCTATACTGCCACCACTTGTTCAGAGAAATTTTGACGTTATAGAGGGGTTTGGCCTTGATTGGAGGGAAATGTACAATATAATTCTTATGGAAAACAAGAAAAGGGGACATTGAAATATGCTGTTGACGGTTAACAAAATGGCAAATGAAACAAGGGTCATTATATCGAGGTTTTATGATATGCATGAATCGAACAGGGAATTCAAAAACAGTTAAGCTTGGAACATCATGCACCTTCCGCGTCAAAAGAACGTCAAACTAAGGTGTTCAGAGTAATCGTACACGTTTGCGGGATTTACCAACCCCTAAAACGTGTAAAATTCATCAATCGGATGGCATTTTTACGGAAAGTTGTTCTGAACCCCTAAAACGTGTAAAATTCATCAATCGGATGGCATTTCATCGGATGGCATTTTTACCGAAAGTTGTTCTGAACCCCTATAACGTGTAAAATTCATCAATCGGATGGCAATTTTTACCGAAAGTTGTTCTGAACCCCTATAACGTGTAAAATTCATCAATCCGATGACATTTTTACCGAAAGTTGTTCTGAACCCCTAAAAACGTTTAAAATTCATCAATCGGATGGCATTTTTACCGAAAGTTGCTCTGAACCCCTAAAACGTGTAAAATTCATCAATCGGATGGGATTTTTACCGAAAGTTGTTCTGAACCCCTATAACGTGTAAAATTCATCAATCAGATGGCATTTTTACCGAAAGTTGTTCTGAACCCATAAAACGTGTAAAATTCATCAATCGGATGGGATTTTTACCGAAAGTTGTTCTGAACCCCTAAAAACGTGTAAAATTCATCAATCGGATGGGATTTTTACCGAAAGTTGTTCTGAACCCCTATAGTGTGTAAAATTCATCAATCGGATGGCATTTTAACGAAAGCTTGTCTGAACCCCTATAACGTGTAAAATTCATCAATCCGGTCGCATTTTTACCGAAAGTTGTTCTGAACCCATAAAACGTGTAAAATTCATCAATCGGATGGGATTTTTACCGAAAGTTGTTCTGAACCCCTATAACGTGTACAATTCATCAATCGGATGGCATTTTTACCGAAAGTTGTTCTGAGCCCCTAAAACGTGTAAAATTCATCAATCGGATGGGATTTTTACCGAAAGTTGTTCTGAACCCCTATAACGTGGAAAATTCATCAATCGGATGGCAATTTTTACCGAAAGTTGTTCTGAACCCCTATAGCGGGTAAAATTCATCAATCGGATGGCATTTTTAACGAAAGTTGTTCTGAACCCCTATAACGTGGAAAATTCATCAATCGGATGGCAATTTTTACCGAAAGTTGTTCTGAACTCCTATAACGTGTAAAATTCATCAATCCGATGACATTTTTACCGAAAGTTGTTCTGAACCCCTATAGTGTGTAAAATTCATCAATCGGATGGCATTTTATAGAAAGTTGTTCTGAACCCCTAAAACGTGTAAAATTCATCATTCGAATGACATTTTTACCGAAAGTTGTTCTGAACCCCTATAGTGTGTAAAATTCATCAATCGGATGGCATTTTAACGAAAGCTTGTCTGAACCCCTATAACGTGTAAAATTCATCAATCAGATGGCATTTTTACCGAAAGTTGTTCTGAGCCCCTAAAACGTGTAAAATTCATCAATCCGGTGGCATTTTTACCGAAAGTTGTTCTGAACCCATAAAAAGTGTAAAATTCATCAAGCGGATGGCATTTTTACCGAAAGTTGTTCTGAAACCCTAAAACGTGTAAAATTTATCAATCCGATGGCATTTTTACCGAAAGTTGTTCTGAACCCATAAAACGTGTAAAATTCATCAATCGGATGACAATTTTTACCGAAAGTTGTTCTGAACCCCTAAAAACGTTTAAAATTCATCAATCGGATGGCATTTTTACCGAAAGTCGTTCTGAACCCCTAAAACGTGTAAAATTCCTCAATCGGATGGCATTTTTACCGAAAGTCGTTATGAACCACTAAAACGTGTAAAATTCATCATTCGAATGTCATTTTTACCGAAAGTTGTTCTGAATCCCTATAACGTGTAAAATTCATCAATCGGATGACAATTTTTACCGAAAGTTGTTCTGAACCCCTAAAAACGTGTAAAATTCATCAATCGGATGGGATTTTTACCGAAAGTTGTTCTGAACCCCTAAAAACGTGTAAAATTCATCAATCGGATGGGATTTTTACCGAAAGTTGTTCTGAACCCCTAAAAACGTTTAAAATTCATCAATCGGATGGCATTTTTACCGAAAGTTGCTCTGAACCCCTAAAACGTGTAAAATTCATCAATCCGAGGGCATTTTTACCGCAAGTTGTTCTGAACCCCTAAAACGTGTAAAATTTATCAATCCGATGGCATTTTTACAGAAAGTTGTTCTGAACCCCTATAACGTGTACAATTCATCAATCGGATGGCATTTTTACCGAAAGTTGCTCTGAACCCCTAAAACGTGTAAAATTCATCAATCGGATGGCATTTTAACGAAAGTTGTTCTGAACCCCTATAACGTGTAAAATTCATCAATCGGATGGCATTTTTACCGAAAGTTGTTCTGAACCCCTAAAACGTGCAATATTACTCTGAACACCTTAGTTACGGTACAGAATTTAGTACCGATGTAACAAATCCCCGGGTCACTGTTGTCAAAGGTACTTCTGATTGTGGTTGGATGTCAGAAACAGTTCGAAGTAAGATTATAAAGTATTGAAGGGGCTGCGGTGGTCGAATAGTTAAAGGGTCTGATATTCTGCTACCAGTAGCAATCAACGACTGGGTCGTGGGTTCAAGGCCCACGTGGGGCAGTTGCCAGGTACTGGCCGTCTGTCGGTGGTTTTTTCTCCGGGTACTCCCGATCCTTGTTTGACCATAGTTGTTAACAGAACGTAAAACCCAAACAAACAACGTATTGAAAACAGTAGAAGATTTACAATTCACACGACCTTATTATTAAAGATTCTTTGTATTTCAAACACAAAAAAATCAATCTATCTATTTCCATAAGTATTGATTACATGAGCTGTAAATCTTTTATTTGACGCAATGTTTTCCAGATCTGGCGGCGTAGCACATGGGGTCGCTAAATATGGCCAGGGACAAGGACAGATCTGGCTGGACAATCTTAGTTGTGACAAGACGGACACTCGGCTCGATCAGTGTGATCCCAATTGGGGTACCCACAACTGTGTCCATAACGAGGACGCGGGAGTCTTTTGCTACCGAGGTGAGCATTAACAATACCAAGGTGAGCATTAACAATACCAAGGTGAGCATTAACAATACCAAGGTGAGCATTAACAATACTAAGGGAGCGGGGATTTTATGTGACAAAGGTTAAGCTNGGGGAGGGGGGGGGATGTTATTTTGCAACGAAGGTTAGTTTTGACAATCGCGATATTGCAGAGATCTCCTGTTACCAATATAAGTGCTAATGATATCGAAGTCGTGGGAGTTTTGCGCTAATAAAGTATACGAAAATGGTCCACTTCGGTGTTCTTAACCATTGTAAAGTAAGACGCCGCTTTTTTCCCATTGCTGATGTCATCCAGCGCACCACTTCAATCCTCATCGCCAATGTCACTTAAATCTTCATTGTCGATGTTAGATAGCGTACCTCTTAAATCCTCATTGATTGCCGATATCACATATCGTACCTTTTTAATCTTCATTGTCGATGTCACATAGCGTACCTCTTTAATCTTCATTGCCGATGTCACAAAGCGTACCTCTTTAATCTTCATTGCCGATATCACATAGCGTACCTCTTTAATCTTCATTGCCGATGTCACATAGCGTACCACTCTAATCTTCATTGCCGATGTCACATAGCGTACCACTCTAATCTTCATTGCCGATGTCACATAGCGTACCACTCTAATCTTCATTGCCGATGTCACATAGCGTACCACTCTAATCTTCATTGCCGATGTCACATAGCGTACCACTCTAATCTTCATTGCCGATGTCACATAGCGTACCACTCTAATCTTCATTGCCGATGTCACATAGCGTACCACTCTAATCTTCATTGCCGATGTCACATAGCGTACCACTCTAATCTTCATTGCCGATGTCACATAGCGTACCACTCTAATCTTCATTGCCGATGTCACATAGCGTACCTCTTTTAATCTTCATTGCCGATGTCACATAGCGTACCACTTTATTCTTCATTGCCGATGTCACATAGCGTACCACTTTAATCTTCATTGCCGTTGTCACATGGCGTACCTCTTAAATCTTCATTGCCGATGTCACAAAGCGTACCTCTTTTAATCTTCATTGTCGATGTCACATAGCGTACCACTGTAATCTTCATTGCCAATGTCACATAGCGTACTACTTTAATCTTCATTTCCGATGTCACATAGCGTACCTCTTTTGTCTTCATTGCCGATGTTACATAGCGTACCACTTCAAACTTCATTGCTGATGCCACTTAGCGTACCACTTAAGTCTCTATTGCCGATGTCACTTAGCTTAGCGCTTCAATCTCTATTCCTGATTTACATTGTCATTATCGCATTATTAATGACTGCAATTAGCATCGCATTGTCACGAAGCATGTCACTTTCATCCTTTCTGCCAATATTTTTGTTGCATACCAGAGCTGCCCTGCAAGTTCGGGGGGAAATAGGAACCTGCTGCATGTCGTAAAAGGCGACTAATGTGGGCCCCTTAAGCTTGCACGGCGTGTTTTTAAGGGGACATTAAACAAACCAAAACTTATCTGCAGCCCTGACTGCAACATAAGGGATATTTATATTTTCTCTCTACTTCCTAACCAAACTTTACGCACTGTCCAAACCAAGACATACCAAAGTATTAAAAAATGGTAGTTGTTATTCCATGCTTAATTGCGCAGCCTTAGGGTAATGGCAACAACTGGTTCATCCGTTTTCAGTATAAAGTAACTCGGCGAAATACTGTTATGGGTGGGTGCTTATAGCATGGCATTACCGAGAGGTAGCACTCTAATGTTGGCATCAGAACCGCGCTATCGCAAGGAGGCAAATACACCGACATACCTCCTCAATCAGACATACACACATGTACGCACACATTACACCCGGCTGTTTATAGTAAACAAAAGCAAAAATAAACACAAAAAAAGGAATTCCGGATCCGTCTTTATGGTCAAAGTCACAGAGTGTAACACTTTGAATCTCGATGTGATTGCCACAATTACAGGTCAACCACGGATAAAATGCTCTTGTTTATTTAACAGCCCCACAACGTAAGGTATTTTTGAATTAACAGGTATTGGATTGGAATTTGCAACATCGGAAGATATATAGTATATTGTGATTTACATTCAAAACCCACGCCAGATTTCTCTATCGTCCGTTGGTGTATTTAGTACATAAAAACTGTACGTATTTTAGGTATACAGCTTGTGTTACTCTAGAGCTTTTATATTTTTGTATGACAGGTTCCTGGACAACAACACCGTGTACTGTAACGTGTGGGGGCGGAACAATCCAGAGGTTAATAACCTGCTCAGGAGACGGATGTACTCCGAGAACTGAATTATTGCCCTGTGGAACTATGACATGTCCCGGTAAGTTTATATACAGACACTTAATGCATGGTTGAAGGAGTACGGTGAGGAATATCATTTTTGTTTGTTTACATACATATAGGCAAGGTATTACACTACTTAAACCGGAAATGCATTTAAATTTATAACTTGGTAGCGTTCTGTTCCAAAGATGGCTGCAATCTGAAAAACTTGATCACTTGAAAGATTAAGTTGTTGCTAGGAATCGGGATCTTATAACTTATGTAGATTAGATAAGGCTGTCAGAGTTATTTCCCTTCCCTTAAAGCTTTCCACAGGCCTGGCTTGTTTCATACAGTTGGTTCATAAAATAAAATACTATTACAATGGGGCCTGGTACGGGTAAAAATACGCAATTGCTGAATTAACTCACATGTCTTCAATTTTCCTCACCCGATCTCCCTCAAACCAGCATTGAGCGCCTGTAAGGTAATAAAACCAGTGAAATGTGAAGAGGCCTCTCTTTCGTTTCGGGGTTGTCTTCCTTGACACCTTCTTACCAGCACGGGATGGCATGCTACCTTACAGAGACTACGACAGCGGTTCTTCATGCTGACACCGTATTTACATGGCCTTAGATGTAAAGGTCATACTGTTTCCTGAGTATACGATTGTATCCAAAACTGTCACCGCCCATGAGGATGCCACAATACTGCAAAAGGATTTACATAAGCTTGCAGTTTGGGAAAAAAAGGTGGAAAATGGAATTTCAACCATATTTCCGTATTATTAGAAAATCTAACAAGACCTTTGGCTTCATTCGGCGTAACCTCTCAAAATTAACTCTAAACCCATAAAGGAACAAGCTAACAAATCTCTAGTGCGTCCTACTTTGGAATATGCTTGTACCTGGTGGGACTCATACCAACAAGGTGACATACATACATTGGACATGATACAGCGTGGGGCTGCGCGGCTTGTCACTAACAGATACCATAACACATCCAGTGTTAGTGACATGCTCGACGACCTAAACTGGCCCAGCCTCGCTGATAGGCGTAAGGATGCCAGTCTACCCATGATATTTAAAATCATTTCTAATACTGTAGCAATTACAAAAGATACGTACCTAACAGAACAGTTGCGACAGACACGACACTCTCACTCTTTCTCCTATCTCACTCCACATTGTAGAACAAACTCCCGCAAATACTCTTTTTTCCCAGACCTGTCCCCGACTGGAACAACCTCCAACCAGACCTGGTCTCATCTGTAACTTTGGAAACCTTTAAAATTCGTCTCTCCTCTCTACACAATTAGCTCTGTTCTCACTCTCTTTTCCTGTACATAAACACAACCAAGACTTCGATATGATCTTCAATATGATCAAGTTGGTCGATTACGAGGTAGAATTAGAAGTAGAAGCACACAAACAGCCGTCCATAGACAGAGGCTGACTGAAACAGTATGGAAGCAACTGTCCTCTATATACGTTTTACAATTCAATTTGTTGTTTTATGCACACATATATATATATATATCATACGTATATATCAACCAAGCCTGCCACCCAACCTGAAAACCCATGTAAGGGATACAGGAGGTGTACCAGCCCAATGCTTCAGGTTTACCTTGCTTGGATTTCTAAACATTGAGTATAAACACGATCTTCATACATTCAGGAGTTATCCCTATACAAGCTATTATTTCCCTTATATTACAATGAATTATGCTGAATTTAAACGGTCCGTTCCTGAGCTGACCAAAAGCTAGAATGCCTAACAAACTTACCCCTTCGCGCCTTACGCTTTCGAAACAATTTCATTGGTCGACTATAAACCGCACGTGCTTCTCAACCTATACGATTGCCACGTACCTACAGGACAAATATTTCCCGCTATTCTACGAACCGCGGGAAATTTAAAATTTCGCTAAACTACGTTTTACAAACGAAAAACACGTGTTAGTAGCATATAAAAAAAAGTTTGTGAAAACACGTAACATTGTTTTTTATGTGAGGTCACAAGAATGAAGCAAGCGTGCGTAGTTAAAGTCGGGACTACTCAGCTGCCCAGAAACGGTCTAATAGTGCTACATTGACATCCGACCATGACATCTCCGTCTCGGAAAGAGACACAAAAACTCTTGTCTGTTGTCCCAAAAATATCAACAGTAACCCGTCAAAGTTTACCCTAAATTATCTCGTCAAATATGCAATCGACGTCAGGAATGCTTACTTACTTAAGCTTTGAAGATTGCCTTTTTAACATTAAAATGTAGGCTCGGATCACAGATTAGACTTGGAAACGGAGTTTTAACTGAGAAACGGACACCACTAGTGGGAACAGATACCCTAAAGAAATGAATGAAAATTTCATCAACACCAAGTGTGATACAGAACTAAGCCAGATTATTAACTTTCTTTCTAGAGCGGATTTAAATATTCTAAAAACCTTCTTTACCAGCAGACCTGGCATAATCAATCGATGCACACCAATACCAGACATCAGTGATCACCACCGCATACATTGAGGCCTTCAAAAAGACCTTGACAACATGCAGCAGTGGGAGAACAGATCCGGACAAATGTGAGGTATTACGAGTCACCAACAGAAAGAAGCCCCTAGTGCCTGGGAATAAACATCAGTGACAACAGCAGCTGGTCCAATCACATAGGAACACTTGCAAAGAAGGCAAACAACATCAATGCATTCTTAAGAAGGAGCATCAGCACCTGTCCAACTAAGATCAAAAAGCAGTGCTACAGAACACCGGTCATGCCTATCGTGGAATATGCGAGCGTGGTATGGGATCCAAAGTTACAAAAGGACGTCAGAGATATTTAGATGGTGCAGAAAAGGGCAGCACACTTCGTCATTGGAGACTACAGAACAAACAGCAGCGTCACGGACCACGTAAGAAGAACGGAGAAAGCGGGCAATGGTCATCATGCTTTACCGCGTCATCAATGGGTAGTGGCAAAACCACCTCAACCACATCTCATCTCAAGAGGGTCAACCATTACAACAAGAGGACATAGCCTTCACTTCCACCTGTCATTCTCCAGGTTACAAAGCCACCAGCAGTCCACCTTCCCCTCTGTCATTTTCCAGGTTACAAACCCACCAGCAGTCCACCTTCCCCTCTGTCATTCTCCAGGTTACAAAGCCACCAGCAGTCCACCTTCCCCTCTGTCATTCTCCAGGTTACAAAGCCACCAGCAGTCCACCTTCCCCTCTGTCATTTTCCAGGATACAAAGCCACCAGCAGTCCACCTTCCCCTCTGTCATTTTCCAGGATACAAAGCCACCAGCAGTCCACCTTCCCCTCTGTCATTTTCCAGGATACAAAGCCACCAGCAGTCCACCTTCCCCTCTGTCATTTTCCAGGATACAAAGCCACCAGCAGTCCACCTTCCCCTCTGTCATTTTCCAGGATACAAAGCCACCAGCAGTCCACCTTCCCCTCTGTCATTTTCCAGGATACAAAGCCACCAGCAGTCCACCTTCCCCTCTGTCATTTTCCAGGATACAAAGCCACCAGCAGTCCACCTTCCCCTCTGTCATTTTCCAGGATACAAAGCCACCAGCAGTCCACCTTCCCCTCTGTCATTTTCCAGGATACAAAGCCACCAGCAGTCCACCTTCCCCTCTGTCATTTTCCAGGATACAAAGCCACCAGCAGTCCACCTTCCCCTCTGTCATTTTCCAGGATACAAAGCCACCAGCAGTCCACCTTCCCCTCTGTCATTTTCCAGGATACAAAGCCACCAGCAGTCCACCTTCCCCTCTGTCATTTTCCAGGATACAAAGCCACCAGCAGTCCACCTTCCCCTCTGTCATTTTCCAGGATACAAAGCCACCAGCAGTCCACCTTCCCCTCTGTCATTTTCCAGGATACAAAGCCACCAGCAGTCCACCTTCCCCTCTGTCATTTTCCAGGATACAAAGCCACCAGCAGTCCACCTTCCCCTCTGTCATTTTCCAGGATACAAAGCCACCAGCAGTCCACCTTCCCCTCTGTCATTTTCCAGGATACAAAGCCACCAGCAGTCCACCTTCCCCTCTGTCATTTTCCAGGATACAAAGCCACCAGCAGTCCACCTTCCCCTCTGTCATTTTCCAGGATACAAAGCCACCAGCAGTCCACCTTCCCCTCTGTCATTTTCCAGGATACAAACCCACCAGCAGTCCACCTTCCCCTCTGTCATTTTCCAGGATACAAAGCCACCAGCAGTCCACCTTCCCCTCTGTCATTTTCCAGGATACAAAGCCACCAGCAGTCCACCTTCCCCTCTGTCATTTTCCAGGATACAAAGCCACCAGCAGTCCACCTTCCCCTCTGTCATTTTCCAGGATACAAAGCCACCAGCAGTCCACCTTCCCCTCTGTCATTTTCCAGGATACAAAGCCACCAGCAGTCCACCTTCCCCTCTGCCATTCTCCAGGTTACAAAGCCACCAGCAGTCCACCTTCCCCTCTGTCATTCTCCAGGTTACAAAGCCACCAGCAGTCCACCTTCCCTCTGCTATTCGCCTGTGGAATGGCTCTTTTCGATTAATTAAATAAAGAGAGTTGCAATAGAGGAACTATTTTGTTTTGTTTCGAAGGGGAAACGTGGCGGGGTCTAGCTATCTAAGCAGCTGTTTCCATCTTCAACCTAATGTATTGTCACTTTCACTTTCGAATTCAATTACAATTAAAAGGACTAACGTCTCTGTTTATGGATAATTTGTGAAGATCCTTTAACTTATCTTTGTTTATGAGAAAATCAATCAAGAAGAGTATGCCGTAAATTACACGTGAACGCTTTGCGTTGATGCAATTAACAGTGTGCTCTGCTTGATTTATTACTTCATAACCTGACCAAAAACAGAAAGCTTTTCCTTTACTTAAGTCGGGACAAAAAATATCAAAACTGTCCTGATGAAGCTGATCTACTCTATCAGTTGATGGACAATGGTCACCGTGGAACGATTGGACGTCGTGCTCGGTCTCCTGTGGGAATGGAACTAGGACGAGATCTCGCCAATGTAACAATCCGGCGCCTGCGCACAACGGCCGTACTTGTCTTGGAGATCAGAACGACTCGGAAGCATGTAGTCCTGGAATCATGTGTCCAAGTATATACATTCTTTTTGGTTTATTTCTCCCTTTTTATACGCCCGTTGACGGGAGTATTATGGTATGGCGTCGTCAATTCGGCGTAAACTTTTGTTTGTCCGGCAATCTCCTCCTATATTTTTTAACCGATCTCTTTGAAACTTGGTATGCATTATCATCATGATATGAAGTTGTGTCTCCCTTAAAAGAATTTTGATTCAACGATTTTTGCAAAAGTTATTTCCCTTTGTTCATTTCAGTATTTGAGATTTTCTCCTACGTTTTTTATAGCATGTCAGCTAACCTCTCTTAGAATGATGCAGATATTATTTCAATGTAAGAAAATATATAACACTTTATGGCATTCGACGGGTGAATACTGTTCCGCCCCGCCGCACTCTTATTTTTGTTTTCTAAAGGTTTTGACATAAAATGGGTTGACAACAACGATAGTGCTAAGCATAACAACACAGTCACATAGATCGTCTGTGTAATGCAGGGTTCATGGCGGTATATCACGAAGGAAAACGTAAGATAGATCACATTAACACCTGTGCTGTTGTGGATAATCTGTTGAACTTTCCATACGTTCACTACCTTACATCGTAAGCTGGTTAAGACATAATTTGTAATTCTAGACCGCTTGATTTTGAAGTTGATGGACAATGGGGATTGTGGAACAGTTGGACATCGTGCTCAGTCTCGTGTGAGAATGGAACTAGGACGAGAACTCGTCGATGTAACAATCCGGCGCCTGCGTACAACGGTCGTCCATGTTCTGGAGATGAACGGGAGTCGGAGGGGTGTTCACCAGGAATCATGTGTCCAAGTATTTACTCTCTTTCTGATAAAGTTTTCATGGTTATCTTTTTTTAGCCCATCATCATCTGATGGTGGGCTATTCAAATCACCCTGCGTCTGTGGTCCGTCGTCCGTCGTCCGTGCGTAAACAATTCTTGTTATCGGTATTCCTCAAGAAGTGCCAGAGGGATTTTTCTCAAATTTTAAATGCAGGTTCCCCTTGGTCCTGAGACTGATCGGATAAACAACATGGCCGACAGGCAGCCGTCTTGGATTTTGATAGTGTGGGTTTGTTACCGCTATTTCTCCGGAAGACCTAGAGGGATCTTTCTTAAATATGTAGGGTCCCCTTGGTCTTAGCTGTGCAGGGCAACTTTTGAGACTGATTGGATAAACAACATGGCCGACAGGTAGCTATCTTTGATTTTGATATTGAAGGTATGTTATTGCTTTTCTCGGGAAGTATCAGAGGGATCTTTCTCAAATTTTATATGTAGGTCCCCTTGGTCCTGAGCTGTGCAGGGCAACTTTTGAGACTGATCGAATAAACAACATGGCCGACAGGCAGCCATCTTTGATTTTGATAGTGAAAGTTTGTTATCGCTAATTCACGGGAAGTATCAGAGGAATCTTTCTCAAATTTTATATGTAGGTTCCCCTTGGTCCTGAGCTGTGCAGGGCAATTTTTGAGACTGATCGGATAAACAACATGGCCGACAGGCAGCCATCTTTGATTTTGATAGTGAAAGTTTGTTATCGCTATTTCTCAAGAAGTACCAGAGGGATCTTTCTCAAATTGTATATGTAGGTTCCCCTTGGTCCTTAGCTGTACAAGGCAGTGTATGACCTGGTCAGGCAGTGCAAAGCTGTGAGACTGATCGGATAAACAACATGGCCGACAGGTAGCCATCTTGGATTTTGATAGTGTGGGTTTGTTAACGCTATTTCTCCGGAAGAACTAGAGGGATCTTTTTTAAATTTTATATGTAGGTTTCCCTCGGTCCTAGCTGTGCAGGGCAATTTTAGAGACTGATCGGATGATCAACATGGCCGACAGGCAGCCATCCTTGATTTTGATAGTGAAGGTTTGTTATCGCTATTTCTCGGGAAGTACGGGAGGGATCTTTCTCAAATTTTAAATGTAGGTTCCCCTTGATCCCTCGTTGTGTATGTTATATTTTGAGACTGATCATAAAATCAAAATGAATTAAAAGAAGAACTAAACAGATCATTCTCATATTGCAATGATCGATTCTATTTCTTTCACATTAAGTACTGTACTAGTAAATATGTGAAATGACAAACTCACTTTGAAGGTTGGCTTTCATACACATCAGTATTAAGTTTAGATCAGAAGTAACCTCAAGGTGCATTTACTGTTAACATGACTCGATCAAACAGATAAGAGGAAAGAAGAGAAAAGATCGAACTGACAAAGAACTAATGAAGATGGTAAAAGGTGGGCGTCAAGATCCCTCTGGGATCTCTTGTTTCTAAATGGATACAAACAGTCCTGAAAACTTTTATTTTAAGTCCATATGCGTTGGTATTGTTTAATAGATGTGTTCAATATTCTTCCATTAACCAGAGCCAGCATTATTGAAGACTACGTATTACAAGTTACATTTCATTGTAGTGGGTTTTTTTAAGTATCCCTTTTAAAGCCGGTAGATGTACCACTCGGTCAAAACAAAATTGGCAGCAGTATTGTGTATTCATTCTCTCGCACGATTTTTATTTGAACATATTTTACTGTCTTAAAATAGAGTAGTGTGCTTCCATCGGGGATCGAAACCGCTATTCCAGACTTTCTAGTCGGACGTTCAACCACCAAGCTAAAGGGAAATTCCCTCTAACCCGAAGCTAGAAGGCGATCGTAATCCTATCTACAATTAAAATCTGCCATACTAATACCCTGTTTTTTAACGTGTTCGCCCTCGAACACAAAAACAACCCAGGTTCTAGCTCCCTGTTACCACAAGAAGGGCCAGGTAACAGGAAAAAGAGTAGTGTGGCTCCATCGGGGATCGAACCCGCGATCCCAGACTTCCACGTTGGACGCTCTAACACTGAGCTAAAGGGAAATTCCCTATAGCGCGAAGCTAGATTATAATCATTATAATTAAATGCTGAACGGCCCATCAACACATGATAGGTCATTAGGGCCAACAAATGGTCGAAAAACCCCAGATGCAAAATTTAAATTATAAAACAAACTGAAAGGTTAAAAGACAGACGTCAATTTGATGGTTGAAAGTTGCTATGATGACCGTAACCCTATATACAATTAAAAGCTGCAGTAGTACAGTAGTGTTTGTAACCCGTATTAATCTTTGTACGGAGGTAATTAGACAAATATGCTGATGAGAGCATATATAAATATCGACTGTATAGACCACAATATCTAAACCAGCAAAATATGAAATATTGAATGGAGTACTATATCACCCGGTATGTGTAATTCCCCGCTGTTTGCTCTTAAAGTTGATGGACGATGGGGACAGTGGAACGATTGGTCGTTCTGCTCAGTATCGTGTGAGAATGGAACTAGAACGAGATCTCGCCAATGTGACAATCCGGCGCCTGCGCACAACGGGCTTTTTTGTCCTGGAGATGAACGCGAGCTGGACGGATGTAGTTCAGGAACCATGTGTCCAAGTATATACTTTTTATTTGATAATGTCTTCTGGGCTATCTTCAAATCGATCCAAATGGTTCTTGATTGTATTTTTTCATTCGAAGCCGACATGGGTCAGGATAAAATAAATCGATTCTTTGAAGTTCCTCAATTGATCTAAGACGTCATAATTGAAGAATAGTCATTTCAACCTACACAGCGTGAACATTTCTTTGTTTGTGTATATACTGCCAATGCTAATATACAGAGGTGTCTATTAGGTATTTGATTTTCAGTCATCATTTCTAATAATAATATCATTTATGTTAGACCAGTTTTATTTATTAAAGAGGTCAGCTGGATAGATTAGCTGATGTAATAGCCAACAATCATTGACTGTTAGTGTATATAGATCACCATACAACAATCAGCTATACTATCCAGAACTCATTTGATGTTGATTTTTTTAATATGATTAAAGTTTAGCCGATAGCTAGTAATTCCCCACTATATCCTCTTGAAGTTGATGGACAATGGGGAGTGTGGAACGATTGGATGCCTTGCTCGGTCTCGTGTGATATTGGAACTAGAACGAGATCTCGCCAATGTAACAATCCGGCGCCTGCGCACAATGGCCGTACTTGTCTGGGAGAACAGAACGACTCGGAAGCATGTAGTCCTGGAATCATGTGTCCAAGTATATACTTTCGTTATGATACATTTATTCCGACAACTTCTCTTTGATGGATCGAAACTATAATCTAGCTGTTATAGTTGAAAAAATACTCTCTTCAAACTATTCTATTCTACAATTTTTGGGTTGTGTTGGATTGGCTTCTTTTAATAACATATCTGATATAAATATAAAAAAAAACTGTTTTCGATTAGCATGGAAACTTTTAATATTTACGCATCCATCTCTCCAGGACCAATTTCAAAGCGTCAGTTAGACATCTATACAAGGATTAAATGAATATATCACAATTCCTCAATCAGCCAATAGCTGAGAATACCGGCACTTGTATAATATCGAATAATAGTAAATTGTGTTACAGTTAATCCGACTGCTGATAATATGTCAATGTTATCATGTGAAGCTATTGGAGAATTGGGACTGTAGAGCGAGTGGTTGTCATATTCAGTCACGTGTGAGAATGGCACTAGAACGAGATCTCCCCACGTCAATGTATTAATCCGGCTCCTGCGCACAACGGTCGTACTTGTCTTGGAGAGTATGTAATCAGGGAGGGGTGTACTTCTGAAATCATAGGTTAAAGTATATAAAACATTTTATATTCTTTTTGAGACCTGAACGGTTTTGAAAACCTTTAATTTCAATTTGAAAGTCATTCAGATTTCTACATTTTCGTTTTAACGTTTACCAATTTTACTTTGACGCTATTATTATTTCTGAGTCGAGTTTTTCTTTTATAAAATATACTACTAGAAATACTATGCAGTGTTGTAGATAACCATGGTTATCTAATTTATTACTCATACTTCTTATGCTAGTCCTTAATACTTAATCTACAGAGTCAGCTGAACTGGTATATCAGTATCAGCACGAGATACTGACGAGTCAGTCGATTTCACTTTGCGAAATTTAGGGTTACCTTTAAATATTCTTCAATTACTCAAGAATTATCAGTAAAATCTAATGATTTTTTTTTATTGATTTTTTTATACTTATTTAAATATAAAAATGCTGTATATAGCATTCAAATACAGAACATTAAATATCCCTTCAGTATAGTAGAAAGGTTTAGCCGATAGTTCATAGTATGCCGTCGTTTCCTCTTTAAGTTGATGGGGAATGGGGGCAGTGGAAGTTGATGGGGAATGGGGGCAGTGGAGCAGTTGATGGGGAATGGGGGCAGTGGAGCAGTTGGATTCCGTGCTTAGTCACGTGTGAGAATGGAACTAAAAATGAGATTTCGTCAATGCAACAATCCGGCGCCTGCGCACAATGGTCGTGATTGTCCTGGTGATCGTTACGACTTGGAGGAGTGTACTACTGGAATCAAGTGTCCAAGTATATTAACTCTCTAAAAATTTGCCTTGTTTCAGTTGACCAAAAACGGTTTTACAAACATTTCATTTTAATTTTAGAGCGTCGACAGTATCAGGTCTATTGATCAACATTTTCCATTTACATGTTGACGGTACAGTTAAGGAATACTCACTTAATTAAGGTTGCTTGGTATACATTTACAGGTGTCTGAGTTCGTGGTTTTCTTCTATGAAATAAACTGCAAGAGTAAGTTAGCATCGATGTAATTGATTTATGAGTCACCACTGTATCAATCCTTGATACTTTAATCTACAGAGATAAAACTTATGACTTAAGTTAGCTGCGTCCAATATTTTTCGAAAAATATCGATCTCTTCTTTTTCCCCTCTCTTACCTACAATTCTTTCTTGTCGTATGAATATCTAAGTAGCTCTAACATTGCGAGATATGTATTGTAATCAATACATTTTTGTCGAAGAGGACTTTAATAAGTTGGCAAAACGTGTGTCCAATTCGTTTGCAACATCTGTTATTTGCAATAAAATGTGTTTAAATAAAATAAGCTGATATATAAGACTTGTTGTCAACAGTATAGATTCCGTACCCCTACTGCGAAACCCTAATAACTGCAAGCATTTGATGGTGTTGTTAAATGTTAAAAACAAAATAGCAAAATTAAGCCGAAACCTGACAATTCGACACTCTCTGCTATTGAAGCTGATGGACAATGGGGAGTGTGGAACGGTTGGACGTTATGCTCTGTCTCGTGTGAGATATGAACTAGGACGATATCTCGCCAATGTAACAATCCTGCGCCTGCGCATTACAGCCGTGCCTGTCGTGGAGATCAAAAAGACTCGGAAGCTTGTAGTCCTGGACGCATGTGTCCAAGTACCTATACTTTCTGTCTGAATCTGTTTTGCTGATAATATTCTCCTTGAATCGAACCAAACGGATTTAAAAACCATTATTTAAAGTAGACAGGCATTGATACCTTCAGATGTATTCCTTGCCTTTTTTGCATTACATTTAAGGGATGTTTTTGAAGAAATACCAAGTCAGTTTTAAGCTATTTCGTGTACACTATTCCGGCTTTTCAGTTCGAAAACAATCTTTCATCCGTTACTATCGATGCATTTTATTTTAAGACATCTTTTCGAACGACCAATACCTCTAATGGATAAAGCCCTTTACATTATTAAACAGGGGTACGTTGGGTGGCTAAGGTTGTGAAATAACCAAAATGGACGACTGCATAGATTATTATACCTCTGTCAACCAACAAATAACCTTCTATGATACCGATAGTTAGTAATACAGCTCCATTTACTCTTGAAGTTGATGGGCAATGGGGATTGTGGAATGGTTGGACATCGTGCTCTGTCTCGTGTGAGAATGGAACTAGGACGAGATCTCGACAATGTAACAATCCTGCGCCTGCGCACAACGGTCGTGATTGTCCTGGAGTTCAGAACGACTCGGAGGAATGTAGTCCTGGAATAATGTGTCCAAGTACTGTATATACTTTCTGTCCGTTGCTTTCCCCCAATGTTTTATTATAGGCTTACGTTTTTGTAAACCTTTAAATCTAGAATATATCGAGCTTACCGCATTTCTTCATCGATAGTCATCCAATGTATTTAGACGATATAATTGAGTACTAATTGCATCATATGTAATTAATGGCTTACATATTTTTGATTCTGAGTTGGAGTCCTCCTATAAAGTTTATTGGAGTGAAAGTTGGCCGTGTTATTGATAAGCATTGGTGAATTTGATTTACAGGTCACTGTATCTCAATAGGAATATCGCTTATTTTAGTAATTAATTACATAATTCGGGATGACAACCCAGCTGATGGAATAATCAAGATGGTCGACTGTATATATCACCATATTACAATCAGCAAACGTAATCCAAATTACCTGTGGTCTTTGATAATGTCGAAAATGTTTTAATATTATAAAAGTAAATCCGAGAGCTGGTACGTCCTTAAATGACCTTAGCTGTTGATATGACGTTAAACCTTGATAACCAACCAACCAACCGATAGCTGATAATGCCCCACTATTTACTCTTGAAGTTGATGGACGATGGGGACAGTGGAACGGTTGGACGTCGTGCTCGGTCTCGTGTGAGATTGGAACTAGGACGAGATCTCGCCAATGTAACAAACCTGCGCCTGCGTACAACGGCCGTGCCTGTCGTGGAGATCAAAACGACTCGGAAGCTTGTAGTCCTGGACGCATGTGTCCAAGTACCTATACTTTCTGTCTGAATCTGTTTTGCTGATAGTGTTCTCCTTGAATCGAACCAAACGGATTTAAAAACCATTATTTAAAGTAGACCGGCATTGATACCTGCAGTGTATTCCTTGCCTTTTTTGCATTACATTTAAGGGATGTTTTTGAAGAAATACCAAGTCAGTTATAAGCTATTTCGTGTACACTATTCCGGCTTTTCAGTTCGAAAACAATCTTTCATCAGTTACTATCGATGCATTTTATTTTTAGACATCCTTTCGAACGACCAATACCTCTAATGGATAAAGCCCTTTACATTATTAAACAGGGGTACGTTGGGTGGCTAAGGTTGTGAAATAACCAAAATGGACGACTGCATAGATTATTATACCTCTGTCAACCAACAAATAACCTTCTATGATACCGATAGTTAGTAATACAGCTCCATTTACTCTTGAAGTTGATGGGCAATGGGGATTGTGGAATGGTTGGACATCGTGCTCTGTCTCGTGTGAGAATGGAACTAGGACGAGATCTCGACAATGTAACAATCCTGCGCCTGCGCACAACGGTCGTGATTGTCCTGGAGTTCAGAACGACTCGGAGGAATGTAGTCCTGGAATAATGTGTCCAAGTACTGTATATACTTTCTGTCCGTTACTTTCCCCCAATGTTTTATCATAGGCTTACGTTTTTGTAAACGCTTTAAGCTAGAATATATCGCGATCAACGCATTTCTTCATCGATATTGATCCAATGCGCTTAGACGGTATAACTGAGTTTTCCTATTAAGTTTATTGGAAGTGAAAGTTAGCAGTGTTATTGATAAGCGTTGGTGCATTTGATTTACAAATCACCATCTCTCATTAGGAATATCGCTTATTTTAGTAATTAATTTACAACAGACAGGATGACAACTTAGATGATGGAATAACTAGATTGCATTCAGCAAGCGTAATCCAAATTACGTGTGGTCTTTGATAATGTCGAAAATGTTTTAATATCATAAAAGTAAATCGGGTTGCTGTTCTGAAATGACATTAACTGTTAATATGACATTCAATCTTGATAAGCAACCAACCGATAGCTGGTAATTCCTCACTGTTTACTCTTGAAGTTGATGGACTATGGTCACCGTGGAACGATTGGACGTCGTGCTCAGTCTCGTGTGAGATTGGAACTAGAACGAGATCTCGCCAATGTAGCAATCCCGCACCTGCGCACAATGGTCGTACTTGTCCTGGAGATCAGAACGACTCTGAAGCATGTAGTCCTGGAATCATATGTCCTAGTATATACTTTATTTCTTGTATTCCTGTCTTGACTTCTCCTCTATGAATGGATTTGATAAAAATACATGAGTCTAAGTATTAATGTTTTTTCCTCTGAAAATCTTTTTGCATTTTTTCCCCTTTGAATGGATCAAATATTTTATTGCAAGTTAGCATGCGTTGTTATTCTGAAATTGATTATTCCAATTCACGAAGGCGGTAGATTTGGAAAAAAAATACTCAATGCATACTTAACTGCAAACGCCTTCCCAGTGATGCGTGAACGATGTTTTTCTCCAATAAAAGATTTCGATTACCATGCAAGCAGATGTTTTTACGACACAATCTTTTCGATGCTATTTTGCTTCTAAATAATCTACAGAGGTCAGTTATGCATTCGCAGCTGGCCAGGATATTAACAAATGGATACGCCATCATGCTTCAATTAGCAGCAAAAAAGCCCGCGTAATATCCTTCGAAAAAGTGATTCATTATTATTAAATTAAAGCAATTGGCAATTTTTTGGACACTGTTTACTCTTTAAGTTGATGGACAATGGAGTTCTTGGAACGGTTGGTCGTCATGCTCAGCCTCGTGTGAAAATGGCACTAGAACGAGGTCTCGTCAATGCAACAATCCTGCGCCTGCGCACAACGGTCACACTTGTCCCGGGAACGAGCACGACTTAGAAGGATGTACTGCGGGAATTATGTGCCCAAGTATATACATTATTCTTCAATCTTGATATCATTTCTTTCATGTTTTCCTGGAAATATCTTCAAGTTAAAACAAATGTATACGTGTATGTTATCTTTACCAATTTTCACTCTAATACTCTAAGAAAAGGCTTCATATACGTTTGATAACTTGAGTCCAATCCCAATGTATAATAGATGCAATAAAACTATATTAAAATTTAAAAAAACCCACTAAGACTGAAGGAGGCATATATTATGACTAATCACACTCTTCACCGTCCCATTGAAGATTCAACCGAGTTCAGTCTCGTGCATCCTCTAACCAATCGGATATCATCATGAAGGTTATCTGCGATCAACATGAAAACACGCTATTATGAATTTCTACTCTCATGAGAAAATACCTGTCCCGTTACGGAGAGTTCGGCTTGGTATCAAAAGCAAAGGCCGATTGTTCAGTATGGATAACGACTACGTTTATCTAGAGGAAACCGTCATATTTGAACATTACAGGCTTTCGATGAACTTGAACACCCCTGGAATTGTGTTGATTTTCAAAACTCTTTGAGCTGTAAGCCGTTAAAATGTAATACCCCATCGTTTATTCTTTTAAGTTGACGGACAATGGGGATTGTGGAATGGTTGGACGTCATGTTCTGTCTCGTGCGAGAATGGAACAAGAACAAGATCTCGTCAATGCAACAGTCCTGCGCCTGCGCACAACGGTGGTGCTTGTCTTGGAGATCAGAACGAATCGGAAGCATGTAGTCCTGGAATCATGTGTCCAAGTATATGGATTTTTTCATTCATTTTCAAATATCCAAAAGTTGTAGAAAAAGTCATTTTCATTTCTAGTCAAGTGCTCAAGTACAATCTACTTATTTCAGTAAAAGAAATTACTTTCTGTACATCGTTAACGATTAAAGAATAGTGTGCAGCTCATTATCCTGAAGTTTCTCTCTTAATAGATCTAAAATGTTGTCCATCATCTTCAACTTCCGGTATGTTTTCATCTCTCGAAGCGCTAGTCACACTTACTGAAAAAAATGCAGATTTCCTATATTTCCTTCCGAATAGTTAAACATGCTCTTTTTATACCAAACTGACTGTATCTGATTCTATTCATTTCTTCCCTTTATTTTCCAAGTTGACGGACATTGGGGACTGTGGGATGACTGGTCGTCGTGCTCAGTCTCGTGCGAGAATGGAACTCGGACGAGATATCGTCAATGCAACAATCCTGCGCCTGCGCACAACGGTCGTTCTTGTTTTGGAGATCAAGACGAATCGGAAAGATGTATTTCCGGAATCATGTGTCCAAGTAAATAATATACAAGTATTTGAAACAGAATATTTGATTTTTACAAGAAACCCCAACGTTTTTTTTTTATCCCGAAATGCATTGTGAAAGCGAGTGAACAGGTATTTTTTTGTGGAAATACATGTAATTAACAGTCTGTGAAAAAAAGTATATCATTGATATAAATAAACATATGTATAAACCTTAACAAAGACGTATGATATCACATCCATGCATACTGTCTAGACTAATATTAAAGTTCTATGAATAAACCAAAAACTGTTGCTTTGTACCGTCTATAACTGCTGACGGTCCACAGGTATTTTTGGTCACGTGATGTCCCGAGTGAGCTGACCGGTGTTTGTGTGGTGGTAACTTTTTCTCTAAATACGGATATTAATGGAATGTTTTCTAAATTCTGAAGGCAAGTAAGTGTGCATGGGGAACTTTGTGATGTAAACGAACCAAACAGTATTGTGCAAGTCATTCGCTAGCTTGACTATTGACAAAATTTGTGTACCTGAGTATAAGGCGACCTGTTTCTAAATATAGCAACGCCATTAACGAGTATTGAACAGTGCACGCACATACCTTTATCGATACGGAAAGGCCATGGGTATACAATGAACGTGTCGAAGGACAATACATGTTTACTATAACCCCAGAGCAGGCCTGAGCTTTCGCAACCCCAATAAGCGAACATTTGAAAGACAAGCGGAAACAAATGTCCAGTCCGCGTCCCGACTTGGGATCGTCTGGCAATTATGAATCGCTGTTTTCGCCGGAATTCATGCATGATTTCGCCCAGATGCTGACCCCAACCATAGCAACAGTGGTCTCTAATTTAATTGAACAGTCGCTTACTCACACCATCCAGCCCCTCATACAAAGTGCTGTGAATACTTCCATTCACAGGGCTCCTTCGTGTCTATGTTCGGGCTAACATCAAATCTTATCCGATTTACATTCGGGTCCATTAATGCCCCTTCACATTTGCATTTATTTTACACACAATAGCTTTTGTTTTCTGTCATGATACAAGTACATGCAATTGTGTCCATTCGTATATATAAACGCTTTTACATACATGTGGTCACTCATGTTACATTTTTGTATCTACATTCGTGTCGGCTTTCACGTATGATAGTTTGAGTTGATGCTCATCCATGATTTCATTGCTGTACATATTTGTTTTCATTTTTTTCTTCTCATCATTTTTGTTTCAATATATATGCCCATATGTGTTTACACTAATGTTAAAATTAACGTCATCTGTCTGACTTATACAGGATTTCCATAACATGTGATACGACTGGTAATTTTTCCAGCGTCATATTTCAGCGTCGTAATGATCACCCGCAAACACATTACTACAATGTCATTATTGTTTTTTCGATGTTGTGTAACTGTGTCAAATGTGTTTTTATTTTTCCCTACCTCTTGTCTTTTATTCCCAATTCTTTGTCCACCTCGCTCTTACCTCTTAGTTATCCTGGTTCTCTGACAGTCGTACATGTAACAATAACAGAACTATCCGTTAGCAGTCTCCATGTCCCTACTTCGTACTTTTTCTATCCCCTATGACAGGGTGCTCATTATCCACATGGAGATGTGCTATCGGACTATATTACTCTAAAGAAACCCATTTAAACAATACGTACAGATTCAACAACAACACTTAATACTATTACGATATTTTTAAGCTGCATTTTATATATTTGCTTATTGCAGTTGTTCTCCTTCTATTTCTATAGACATATAGCAACCCAAACAACATCGCCCTTGTCTTGATCTTTATCTTACATTTGTCAGGGGACATACACACAAATCCAGGACCAGCAGACAGTTTTTCTTTATCTAACGACTCCGACTCCGACAATATATCCTTTTCTGTTTCTGACGAAGACTCACTAAAAATCATGCACTTGAATATTCGTAGCGTTAGAAATAAAATCGTTTTTCTTGAGAGTTTTACCGATGACGTAGACATATTGTGCCTAACAGAAACACATCTCGATCCTTCTATCCCTGATTCTGACTTTCTGCTTACTAACTCCTCAACAATATTTAGAAAAGACAGGAACGCTTTTGGTGGCGGTGTTATGATTTTTGCAACTTAAGACCTACTTCCTAAACGCAGACTTGATATTGAATCACCGAATGACGAAATAATTTGGATTGAATTTTGTACTGATAATAATAAATATCTTCTATGTTAGCATTCTAACACAGCAATATAATCTAACTAACCTGATTACCAGTCCAACTAGAGTTACAAATACTACACAATCCGTTATAGACCCGTTTTACATCAGTGATACTATATCCTCCAAATCATCCATTGTTGTACCAGTTTTAGAAGCTATAAGTGACCACAGAGCTATAATTGTGTCATTGTCGTCATGTCTACCAAAACCAAAGTCGTTTAAAAGGAAATATAGTTATACAACAGAGCAGATATCTTAAATCTTAAAACAGAGGTAGGACAGGTAGATTGGATAGATTTGTTTTCTCATGCGGATAATGTAAACGAAAAATGTAAACTGTTCACTGACAAAATAATTTCTATTTTAGAAAAGACATATTCCTTAAAAAATATGTTACTGTAAATAAAAACGACAAACCATGGATGAACGGAGATATAAAAAGGAAATTAAACGTAGAAACAGGTTAAGGAAACATTTTATCAGAGTTAAAACCCCATTGTCTGAAGCTAAATTTAAACGTGCACGAAATAAAGTAAATAATATGCTGAAACATGCAAGAGCAGTTTTTTTTTTTACAAATGTAGATGGACTTATCAATGATATTTCAGCTAATCCCAAAGCATACTGGAAACTAATGCGTATGCTTTTAAAAGGTAACATTTCTACCGATATACCTCCTTTACTAAACCCTACAAATAACCGCTTAACCACAGACGACTGACAAATCCAATATTCTAAATAACTTCTTTAAATCTGTTTCTGACCTTGATGACCTAACGATGATATACCCTATTTTGACAACCAAACAGACGCGTCCCTTACTGAAATTGTAAGAACAGAACAAGAGGTTTTAGATATAATCAATATTTTAGACACTAATAAAGCTGCTGGTCCTGACGGCATCAGTCATAAAATGTTAAAAATGGTATCAAATGAAATATCTGCACCCCTCACCCTTCTATTCAACGAATCCTTTCGTACTTCTGTATTTCCTGATTCATGGAAACTTGCCCGTGTGACACCTATTTTCAAAAAGGGGGAATCTGAATTTGCAAATAACTACAGACCCATTTCTTTACTTAGCTGCATTGGCAAACTTTTTGAACGAATCTATTCAGCAACAAACTTCTATATACTTTACAGTCTGGCTTCTTACCAAATCACTCTACAAATCACCAACTCATCAAACTCTATCATAGCATACTTACAGCACTGGAGGATCGTGAATACACTGCTCTTGTTTTTTGTGACTTTTCTAAAGCTTTCGACCGAGTCTGGCACGAAGGTCTATTAATTAAATTAGAAAGATACAGGATAAAAGGCAAACTTTCAGATTGGATTAAAAACTACTTGCGTAACAGGCGCCAGTCAGTGGTACTAAAAAATGCTATATCTTCTGAAGTATCTATCAAAGCCGGAGTTCCTCAAGGTTCAGTGTTAGGGCCACTTCTTTTTCTTGTATACATCAACGATATTTCAAATACATTACTATCAATGACTAGACTTTTTGCTGATGACACCACATTAGCACACTCTTCCAAAAATTTACACGATATAAAACAAGTTATAAACTACGACATTGAACAATTAAACCTTTGGTCAAATAAATGGTTAATGAATTTCAACCCAAATAAAACCGAAATTCTCTTAATTTCCAACACAAATATACCTTCTAACCCATAATTTCTTTTCGACAACACACCTATACCTATTGTTAAAAACCACAAACACCTAGGAGTCATTATTAGTAACAACGGCACATGGAACTCTCACATCGAACATATACTAGCAAACACTACAAAGTACATTGCAACTTTAAGGAAATTAAAATACATCCTAAATAGAAAAAACTATTTGAATATGCCTGCGAAGTATGGGACAATTGTAATATCACATTTTCGAATAAATTAGAGAACATGCATTATGAAGCAGGTCGAATAATAACTGGATTACCTATTTATACAACAACAACAAAATTACAGAGAGCTCGGATGGAAATCATTGATAGATAGACGCAGGATTAGAAAATTATCCATGTTTTATAATATTTATCATGATAATGCTCCCTCATTTCTTAAATCTCTTCTACCACCTATTGTGTCAAAGTTCTCTAACTATAATCTTAGAAACAGGAATAACTTTCAGAACCCATACTATAGACTGCAAATCACAAATTATCCTTCATACCAAGTACTACTGGAACAATCTATCTATAGAAACAAAGTCATCAGCATCCATTAAACAATTTAAAACTCTTATTCAGACTCAAGTCACTACCCCTTCTTATATTAAATGTTTTCTTGAATGTGGGTCCAGAAAAGTAAATATTATACATTGCCAATTACGAAACCGCAGTAGCTCTTTAAATTACGACCTTTTTAAAGCTCACCTTAACAACTCTACTTGCGACTGCAGAAATGACCCGGAAGACTCTTCCCATTTCTTACTAAACTAAAAAAATTGATCAATCCCGTAATATAATGCTTCAATCCCTCGATTGGTACAACGAAATCACTATTGAACACCTTCCCTTCGCAGATGCAAACCTTGACTACAATCTAAACATTCAAATTTGTAGGTCTGTACAGCTGTTCATTTTTAGCTCCAAACGGTTTAACATGTAATACCCAACAGTCTTATTGAATAACCAGTATACCTACTTCGGCTATTCCCATCTGTCTCTCCCCTCCACCTCCTCTCTTATTCCAGCCCCTCTCCCTTTTTCCAACACCAACGTTCTCTGTGTACTAACTTCAATCTTAGCGTCCATCAATATCATAACCGTTTCCATATGACAAAGAGTGCGTGTTCGGTTTTCCTAATTTAGTCGGCTAAGCATGTAAGGCAGGAATTCACAGAAAGACTTGGAGTGACACAGGAGAAAGGCATATGCGGCACGGATTGTGATTGAACTTTAGAAAAGCAGAAGGATATGTGTGTATAGATTAGTTATACTACTTACGCCGACTCGATTGGGAAAATCACACACGCGATCACAAGTAAACTCTACGAATACATATTTAAAAACTATACGTTGGTGTCCCTAATCCTATCATTACCTCTTTTGCTGTTACCCATCTTTAACATCTTATATATATATTCATATATGAATGTGTATTAGGTTATTACGTGACTCATTAGTTTTGTAAATATATTTTCCGTTACGGAAAGGACGTAAGTAAGTTGCAATAACTTTTGTCCAATCCATTTGTCTTTTGTTGCAATAAAATTGATTTAAACTAAAGGGCTTTTTTTGATAATATACAAACATGATGTTTTGGTCATTTGTATTTTGTTACTAACACAGTTGATGGACAATGGTCACACTGGAATGATTGGACATCGTGCTCAGTCTCGTGTGAGAATGGAACTAGGACGAGATCACGTCAATGTAACAATCCTGCGCCTGCGCACAACGGTCGTTCTTGTCTTGGAGATCAGGACGAATCGGAAGGATGTACATCCGGAATCATGTGTCCAAGTATAAACTTTATTCCTGATGCAATTTTTTAATTTTCACTCTCTTTGCAATGTTTTCAAATTGGGGGGTGGGGGGAGGGGGTTAGGATATCACGCCTGGTTTAACAGATATTTTTGTGAGGTCATTGCTTTACTTTGAAAATACAGATACATGGATACATCTTGACAATTATGGATGTATTATAAACAATGTAATTAGGGGAACTGTTTGTCGATATATTGTGTGTTTTTTTTCTATGACGAGAGGTTTTTGATCACATTATTTGTGTACCCTTGAATGTTACAAATGATAAAATTATGACCACACATGAATTTGCTTCTAAAGTATCAATCTGAGACTAATTAAAGTCTTTAAATATCCAGAAACAATCAAGTGTATTTCACGTGGGAGATATGCTAACTAAAAGCGTCTATGTACAAATTGATAACTGGTATCGTACTATCTCTATTTCTTATTTATGTACAAATTGATAACTGGTATCGTATTATCTCTCTTTCTAATTTTTCTCGATTTCTGTTTCTGTCTTCCTTCCTTCAATTTTCTCTTCGATACTAGAGATAATTTTTAGATAAATATGTTTATTATTGATGTCATGAAATTTGTATGATAATATGTATTGGCTAAAGCGTGTCTAAGTGAGATAACTAGTGCCTGATCCATTTGATGAATGACAACTAAAATATGTTAAAATAAACCAATAACGAAGCAAAGACAAAAGTGAGTGAAAAAAAAGCTTGCTACCCTACGCGTGTAAAATTTCACCTGCATATTATGCCTGGCTTGTGCAGTTGGCCTTGTCGGCGTTAGCTCCCTTCACATTGGTTTGTATGTCATGAAATAGTTTTTCATTTATACTTCTCAAAGTTGATGGACAATGGGGAGTGTGGAATGGTTGGACATCGTGCTCTGTCTCGTGTGAGAATGGAACTAGGACGAGATCTCGCCAATGTAACAATCCTACGCCTGTGCACAACGGTCGTTCTTGTTCTGGAGATCAGGATGAATCGGAAGGATGTACTTCCGGAATCATGTGTCCAAGTAAATAATATAGTCTTTGAAACAGAATATTAGATTTTTACAAGAAACCCCAACGTTTTTTTATCCCGAAACGCATGGTGAAAGCGAGTGAAGAGGTATTTTTTGTGGAAATACATGAAGTTAACAGTCTGTGAAAAAATGTGTATCAATATTAACAAAGACGTATGATATCATATCGATGCATAATTTCTAGACTAATATTAAAGAGTTATGAATAAACAAAAACTGTTACTTTGTACCGTCATCAACAGCTGGCGGTCCATATGTATTTGTTAATAATATACAAACATGATGCTCATCATTTGCATTTTGTTTTTTACACAGTTGATGGACAATGGTCACAATGGACGGGTTGGACCCCGTGCTCGGTTTCGTGTGAGAATGGCACCAGAACGAGATCTCGTCAATGTAACAATCCGGCGCCTGCGCACAACGGTCATTCATGTCCCGGAGAAGGTGACTCCTCTGAAGAATGTACTCCAGGAATTATGTGTCCAGGTAGAGTTTTTCCTTCTTGGCGATTTTTGCCGAAAGAACCAGAATAATTTTATATAAAAATTGAAAATAATAATTCGTATTTGATTTTTTTCCATTCCCCAACAACCTAAGAACAATCAAATAGCTAGCCACGTGCATTCACTTTTGTCATAACGTTAACATATTATTCAAAGGGAAAGGAAAGCGTTACCCCTGAAATTATCAAGGATGCTAAATGTAAAACGAGGGGGTTGGAATGTTTTGCACCAAAATTATATCACTGTGACACATATTGTACTGTGACTTAAAATCACTGAGGATGTTGTCCGGGGTTTATCCTAAACCTACAGAGTAGATGGCATAACGGAATGTTGTCCGGGGTTTATCCTTAACGTACGGAGAAGATGGCATAACGGAATGTTGTCCGGGGTTTATCCTTAACCTGCAGAGTAGATGGCATAACGGAATGTTGTCCAGAGTTTATCCTTAATCTTCAAAGTAGATGGCATAACGGAATGTTGTCCGGGGTTAATCCTTAACCTACAGAGTAGATGGCATAACGGAATGTTGTCCGGGGTTAATCCTTAACCTACAGAGTAGATGGCATAACGGAATGTTGTCGGGGTTTATCCTTAACCTACAGAGGAGATGGCATAACGGAATGCTGTTCGGGGTTAATCCTTAACCTACAGAGTAGATGGCATAACGGAATGTTGTCCGGGGTTAATCCTTAACCTACAGAGTAGATGGCATAACGGAATGCTGTCCGGGGTTTATCCTTAACCTACAGAGTAGATGGCATAACGGAATGCTGTCCGGGGTTTATCCTAAACCGACAGAGAAGATGGCATAACGGAATGTTGTCCGGGGTTTATCCTTAACCTACAGCGTAGATGGCAAAACGGAATGTTGTCCGGGGTTTATCCTTAACCTACAGAGTAGATGGCATAACGGAATGTTGTCCGGGGTTTATCCTTAACCTACAGAGTAGATAGCATAACGGAATGTTGTCCGGGGTTTATCCTTCACCTACAGAGAAGATGGCATAACGGAATGTTGTCCGGGGATTATCCTTAACCTACAGAGTAGATGGCATAACGGAATGTTGTCCGGGGTTTATCTTTAACCCACAGAGTAGATGGCATAACGGAATGTTGCGTATCAAAAATAGGTCCCAGCGTTAGTTAAGGATTGACCTTCATTTTGACTGCGTATACGGTAGTATGAACGCAGTTGGCAACGAACATATTCTATGGAGCGCGTTAGCGCTCCATAAAGAATATGTTCGTCATAAATAGGAAGCAATGGTCTCCAAGGAATCTCACTGCGTATACGGTAATGTATACGCAGTCACGGTTTACACAGCTTCAATGGGAGCTAATGTAAATATAAACAAATATTATGTAAGGGGAACTTTTCTTATACTTTTTCACTTGAAATTACAAAAACATATCATGAAAAAAAACGACAGACAGTTTTTTTTCCTTCACTGACAGTTGATGGACAGTGGGGGAAATGGACAGAGTGGTCATCGTGCTCCGTGACTTGCGAATGTGGTGAGAAAATTAGGTCACGTGAATGCGACAGTCCGTATCCAGAACACGACGGGATGGCATGTACCGGAAACAGCAGCGAGACAGCCTCCTGTGGGGCTGATATACTGTGTCCAGGTAACCACTTCTTCAATAAACATCAGTGATGGAGTTACACCGTTAAGTATGTGGTAATTAAAATTAAATAGGAATATCATATGGTTGGTTTTCCGATAGAAGTCACTTGGATTTCTCGAGTGTGGCAGAATTTCTTTTTCACAAGCGCACCAGCGTCCAGCAAAAAAGAAGAAACCAAAATGCTCTATTGATCGGATTTCTGCGATTGAGATCCAACAATGAAGAAAATAGTCCTATCTATAACAGGTGGGGGGCTCACAACGTCAAAATCGTTTATATATTGTATTTTAATATTTTAGAGCGGGACCTTAGCCCCTTCTCCTACGAAACACGCTCGTTACAAGCTCACTAGTTGGTCGATATATCCATTGGTCTTGTATTCTGCATTGTGATTGGTTTACATCAGATAAAGTAATTTTCTTTATTGCAGTGGAAAGTGATACATTTTATCTTAAGAATAATGTCCAACATTGCACAACTTCAAATCTAATAAAAGTTGTTTTTAACCTGTGTTAATGTATTTTCACATGGAAAGTTATCGATGGCCGTTAACTAAAAATGAGTTTATCTTCATAATTCCCGATTTTAAGAAATGTTTTTTTCTCTCATATAGGTGGCTGCGGTAAGGACAGGTTGATGTGCATCGACAAAAGAACGTGCATCGGCGTCAGCATGTCATGTGACGGTGTGCGGCAGTGCCCGGATGGGGGTGACGAGGTCAATTGCATTGGAAGAAATCTGCTGTACATGCCCAACTTCCAATACCTGTTCTCGTCTGGTATGTCAAGTCAGTGATTCTCTTGGTCGTTTTACTTAGTGTTAATGTTTCGGCCAACTACGAATATTAGCGTCGGTTAGCGCAGTGGATAGCGCACTCGCCTTTCAGCAAGACGGCCGAGGTTCGACTACCCGATCCGACGTGAAAAGGTATGGAGTCCCCTGCCCGACCACCTGGGTTTTCTATGGGTACTCTGGTTTTCTCCAACATTAAGACCCTGCGTGCTTCCATCCGGGTGTGATTAATATAAGTTGTATTAACTTGTTTCATGAGCAGTAACGACGCAAAACTGACGGCACCGCTATGTAATTCAAGTCATGTTTGAAAGGGAACATGCTGCCCCCCCCCCCCCCCCCCAAAAAAGGGGGAGATAGTTCATAGAAATTGTCTTGCATCAGTCACACTTGAGTTTTGCACACCAGAAAGTGCTGTGCTCATATTGCTAAAACAAGCTGAATATCGAATGAAACTATGGGTACTTTGATAAGATGTTCGGTTTATGCACAAAACAAATAGTTCGTGAGAATTATGTGTTGGTTATAAATGAATATGATCATAATTGTTCCTGACGTCCAAATGAAACATCAATATAGTTGACGATTTATCTTCAATCATTAATGTGTGTTTTCGTTTTGCTTCAGACTCGACCAAAACGTGCCCTTCCCTTCTGTGGATGTTGATGATATGGCTGCTCCGTGTCTTTGTCCAGTAAAATGACGCCATACGTTGTGAAAGGAGTTGCGCAGTGACCATCAGAGAGTGTGAACATCGAGGAGAGAATCGTTAGTCCTGTTGGCATGGAGAGAAAACAACCGCGTGGTCCGAGATTCATTTTAAAACGTTTTATAGAACACATAAACTTTTAGTCGGATGTCTGCAATCACATGGCGGACTCTCTTCCTCCCTACCTACATTTTGCCTCTCTCTCTCTCTCTTTCTGGCTCTGTCTCATTTCTGTCTCTATAATCCTCCATGGGGTTATGCTCAATTTCGCTCTCTACACCCCTGGAATGTGTCATAGCAAAGGTGAAGTCACGCGGCTAGCTGTTTGATTGGTCTCTGGTTAATAAACCTTACCAATCTCTAGACTGATACCCGGGTCTTTAAAGATTAAAGGGGAGCGACACCCGACTTCAAAGCCAGTCAATTTTACCGTTACGCGAACGACCGTTTCTTTTGATGCACATCAAAGGATCAGACTTATCTTCTCGTCTCATCCACAAAGTTGTGCACACTGAGCTTTCGATTTTGCTATGATGCAGAGAACGAAAGTAAGTTTAACCCCTAGGGAGTACAAGATGTGTCTCTATCCATCGTATGTGCATATAAAAGTGTGTGTGTGTGGGTGTGAATATGTAAATGTTTGTATGCAATTTGTCAATAGATAACATCATACTCTATTACCATATACCGGGAAATTTTCGTTGCAGTTTAACTTCCGCCTTTATCACCCTCCGTAATGAGGGCGAATTTATCATCACAGTGAATATATATAACCAACATAATATACAAATGTATATATAGTAATTAAATGTGAAAGGTGAAATTAAAACTCGAAATAATATGGATTTTACAGGCGAAGGGCGAAAGTTGGACTACGCGAAAAATTCCCCGGTATAAAGTATTCGTCATATAGTCTAGTCATTGTAAAGCTGTAAAATTTGATATTTTGTTAAATTTAATATTGTAATATTTCACGGAAAGTGCTATAATTACATGTAACTTGAATAACTTGTTTCCAATCCCTTTGCTATTAAAAGGCAGTAAAATACGTTTAAATAGAATCAAGTCAATGCGAATATGTGTCTTAATGACGCATTGCGTATGAAAGGAACTTAAACGTCATTGGCTTAAAAAGATATCAATATAATCTTTCCCCGCCTTGGGGGTAAGACAGAAATCTCAACCCAAGGGGAAAGATTCTTAAATGTCAAGCCCAAGGCTCTGCCGAGGTCCAAGAGCCTCGAGTTAAACATGTTTTGTCTTAATCTGCAAGTTAGGAATAATCGTTTTTTTTCTCTCGCATCAAATACAAGTAGTAATTTCAGGAAATGCAAACGTTCATTTCATAATGTTCAGCCAATCGGATATATATTCCGTGATATACAATTATGACAGAGGAATCGCCCCATCTTTTTCCCTTGGGGGAATATATCTGCTGATCAACGGGTTGAAAAGATAGTTTTTCAAAACGGTGCATTATTTAAAGAATATGATGGACACGCTTGAAAGACAAGAAACTGTTTTATGCATATAATTTGCAATTAATAAGATAGCAACGCTTTCAGATTGTTTTCTTGTTTTACGAATTAGAACATATGATGTATAATAATTATTTATTTCTTCAATAAACAAACATTGTTACATATTACAAGATTGTTTTGTCCATTTTTAGTCTCGATCGGTCTTATACTGGAAAATAAAATAACCTTGTACGTGACTTCTGTGACATAAACATACTGATTCACTCATGTCACGCTCCATTACCTTGATGAAGACAACTATACATTTCATTTTTTTTTTTTTTTGAAGTATGTAAAAAAGTATACTTAGGTGATCAGAGTGATTAAGGAGGCTCCACCCTTTCGCAATTAGCCGGCAGAATTCAATGAAAGTTTCACATAATGGTTATGTCACTATGTAGAGATGATTTTATGAAAATCTAAGCATTCCGATAAACTGGGGATATTTTTGTAAAAAATACCGAAATATTGAATTTTTGTCAAATTCAACACTTTTACATTTTTTGAGCGTGTGGCATTGTTCAAAACTATAACAACAATAAAATAATGAAAAGAAACATTGCTGATCAACCCTACAAATATTTTATGATAAATGTTACAAAAAGCGTTTTTTATTGAAATTGTATGGATAACAGTTACTAAATACAAGCTAAAAGCAAACAGGACACATAGTTTCATACAAAAAGACTGAAAAATTGAACCAAAGGCACACAAAGTCTTTATAATTAATTTATCTTACATTTTACAATAATTTTGATCCTGATGAGAGTTGTCTACCTTGAAAAAAAACGGAACTTTTTGCAGAGGGATAGAATTTATACAATGACACTTATTTTCTTTACTATACCAAAAAACGACGGAAGTAATTTAAATTACTAGATTTAATTGTCAATTTACTGTTCTTTTATGGAACAAAATTACTCTCAATCATGTACACTTTGGACATCATTCCATAGCCTGCTTACGCATGGTATATTAACATGTCAGGTACATATGTAACCATAGGCTATCGCATGGTATGCCGTTATTACGTGCACGCACATGCACTTGCATTTTATAGGGATCTTGATATTTTACAAACCACTTTTTAACAGAGTTATTGTAATTGCATTTGTGAACCGATTTATCTGACAGAGCGTAACTCGCTCGACAACAAAAGTCGTAGCGACCAAGAGCTTGTGAACTACTGTTAGCACGTGATACGTACAGGTGAGGTCGGTAAACAAAACACATCAGTCTGCATTCCATGCGCCTCATATACGACCTTCTTGGAAGTCGTCTGATCATATGTCAGTGTTTGCCCGTGAGTTAATTAATGTCTTTGTATCATAAGCTTTATTTCTGAAGTACGTGTGATTACACATTTCCAAGTTAAGTCTCGATATCGGGTTTTGACATATCATCGTCACGCACGTGTACTATTGTTTACCCGGTGTTACTATAATTTACACCACGATAATGGAATGCCCGATACGCAAAACGGAAATGACGACACGAAAATACGAAAAGAAAAACATGTGTATTACAAAGGTTGGAAACTCCTTAAGTGTGTTATATACACAAAACAGCTTTGCACACCTGTGTTTGGATCTGCATAGTCAATCGGTGAAATTGCGCTGGGTATTTTGTGAACATTGGGGAACCGTCGGTACTTTCCAACGAGTAAGGTTTTTTTTTCGATTGCATTGTGACGTAACTGCTGTCGTAACACCATGCGGGCGTTGTAGGGTCGAGGCGTGTGGTTCACTGTGGCGTAACTACTGTCGCGACACCAGGCGGACATTGTAGGGGCGAGGCGTATGAGTGACCCCTAGAACACCTTCTAAAGACGGCAGACGATCAGCGTGTTCCGGCACTAGATCAAACCTCTGGAGAATTGTTGTCAAATACAAGAACAGCTCCATACGCGCCAAAGTCTCACCCAGGCATGCGCGGCGACCTGTAATTATGATAGGTACAATTAAGCTGTTTTCTTTATTGTTAAAACAAAATACTGTTATCTTTTGTGTTATGCTCATTAAAGATAAACTTTCACTTAACATATGAATATTTTATTTACTACGCATAGTAAAGACCAAGATAAAAAAATTGTGATTTGACAAGTTCAAACTACATCAAAACTCGAGAGCTAGTCTTCTTCCCAAGCAAATAAACATTACACCGGCTTCATATAATTTTTTAAATGCTTCATATATGAATTCACACGATAAGGAAGCTAAATCGGATTCGAGAAGGAAAACAGAACTGATGCCATTGAAAATCGATTAAGGTAATAGGCATCACTGGATCAGATTTGATAAGGGGAAAAAAAGAGTTCTTCTCTTCAAGTTTTTTCGACATGAGGTAATCTCCCTTATATAGAACAGGGTGGGACTAAAACGCGTGTTCTGGCTTAGAGTAATTTCCCCTGAAAGGACATGCTGTTCTTTAGTGAAAAGGTCCTTTTTCTCAAAATGTTAAAAATTCTAACAACCGTAATTCTGTAGAATGCATCGCACCATGTGTTTTTTTTTTATGGAATACTACTTTTGAAAAGGAATAAAACAAGAACTTCACAATAGTGACAATGATGATAATTATGTCAAACATGTCGATACCCTTAACAATCTAATTAAAATGATATCTTCACATCGCTCCCGTTTACTGATATATCGCGTTGAAGATCCAACAACATCCCACACAGGGTCACGTCAGAGGTCAACATGAATGCATTATCGCATTTATATCAAGCCAATCAAAACGCGACATAACTCTTTCATTCAGCCAATCAGAAAGCAGGACCTGTAGCATTTAATGCAGACACCTCGTAGCCCAAAATCCACTTTTTCGTCTGGTCCAGTGATAGTTTGAATATTGCGAAGCCTGTCATTGGTTAATTTTAGTTTCAGGTTGTTAAACTTTTTAACAACAACATCACCAGAAGAGGAAGTCTCTCTTATTTCAAAGCAAAATCCACAAATTGTACAAACGTCGTCTTGTAGATAGACACGGCGTGGTGTCATGGGCGCCGCCATTTTCGATGTTCATTTGATACCTCTCGGTCTTTTATCATAGCAAGTGTGTTCCGAAATCATTACATCATCACTTACAGAAATGCGTAAGCTCTCATCTGATTGGTTAATGCAAAGGTCGCCTGAATATGACCCTCTACGGTATGTTGTTAGATCTTCAACGCGACATATCAGTAAACGGAAGCGATGTGAAGATATCATTTTAATTAGATTGTACCCTTAACTGATATCTGGCTCCCTAGAAATAACGATTAAATATAAACATAGACTCCTATAATAGATAATAGATCAACACCTGATGTCCCGTTAACGTTTTGATAATCGCAATAGTACAAACAAATTTGAAAATTATAAAAACCTTAGCGAATTACAAAGAGGAGTTATAAAACATAAACTTACCGACAGAGAATGCTGCAAACACTTCACGTCCGAAGAATTTTCCATTTTCATTTAGAAAACGTGTAGGATCGAATTTTTCTGGATCGGGAAATTCTACAGGGTCAAATAAGACCGAATCTATATTTAGGAGCAGAACAGCTCCTTTCGGAATAGTGTATCCGCGGAATTCTACGTCGGTTTTACAGCTATGAGGAACGCCAAGAGGAGCAACGTTAGCCTTTCTGATCACCTCTGTTACTACTGCCTCCGAATATGGCATGTTCTCTTTGTCGCCGAGATTTGGAAACCGGGACGTTCCAACAACATCGTGTATTTCCGCTACCATACGTTCCTTAACGTCTGGGTTGTACAACAGGAATAGAACAGCCCATCTTATTGATGTTGTAGTGGTTTCTGTTCCCGCGGAAAACAAGTCTCCAATCGACCGAAGCATCTGGAAGTCTGAAAAAGAAATAACACCTCTACAAACTAGATATATTGATTTTCAAAAGCAGTTAAAGCTCATTTTTCACTAAAGCGACCGGGGTTTGATTCCCCGATCGGGCATGAAAAAGGTAGGGGGTCATCTGCCCGACCACATTTTCCCGGGCACTCCCGCTTCTTCAGCTACAATATTTCATTAAATGCCTACCAATCCGATATTCCACCCTTGGATGCCTTCCTCTGTTATAACATGTCATTAGATGTCTACCTATACGATAGTCTACCCTTGGATGCCTTCCTCTGTTATAACCTGTCATTAGATGTCAACCAATACGTTATATCACCCTTGGATGCATTCCTCTGTTATAACCTGTCATTAGATGTGTACCTATACGATATCCTACCCTTGGATGCCTTCCTCTGCTATAACCTGTCATTAGATGTCTATCTATACGATATCCTACCCTTGGATGCATTCCTCGGTTATAACCTGTCATTAGATGTCTACCTATACGATAGTCTACCCTTGGATGCCTTCCTCTGTTATAACCTGTCATTAGATGTGTACCTAAACGATATCCTACCCTTGGATGCCTTCCTCTGCTATAACCTGTCATTAGATGTCTATCTATACGATTTCCTACCCTTGGATGCCTTCCTCTGTTATAACCTGTCATTAAATGTCTACCTATGCGATATCTCACCCTTGGATGCCTTCCTCTGTTATAACCTGTCATTAAATGTCAACCAATACGATATATCCCCCTTGGATGCCTTCCTCTGTTATAACCTGTCATTAGATGTCTACCTATACGATATCCTACCCTTGGATGCATTCCTCTGTTATAACCTGTCATTAGATGTCTACCCATACGATAGACTACGCTTGGATGCCTTCCTCTGTTATAACCTGTCATTAAATGTCAACCAATACGATATATCAACCTTGGATGGCTTCCTCTGTTATAACCTGTCATTAGATGTCTACCTATACGATATATCACCCTTGGATGCATTCCACTGTTATAACCTGTCATTAGATGTCTATCTATACGATATACTACCCTTGTATGGCTTCCTCTGTTATAACCTGTCATTAGATGTCTACCTATACGATATATCACCCTTGGATGCATTCCTATGTTATAACCTGTCATTAGATGTCTACCTATACGATATCCTACCCTTGGATGCCTTCCTCTGTTATAACCTGTCATTGGATGTCTACCTATACGATATATCACCCTTGGATGCATTCCTATGTTATAACCTGTCATTAGATGTCTACCTATACGATATATCACCCTTGGATGCATTCCACTGTTGTAACCTGTCATTAGATGTCTATCTATACGATATCCTACCCTTGGATGCATTCCTCTGTTATAACCTGTCATTAGATGTCTACCTATACGATATCCTCCCCTTGGATGCCTTCCTCTGTTATAACCTGTCCTTAAATGTCTACCTATACGATATATCACCCTTGGATGCATTCCTATGTTATAACCTGTCATTAGATGTCTACCTATACCATATATCACCCTTGGATGCATTCCTCTGTTATAACCTGTCATTAGATGTCTACCTATACGATATATCACCCTTGGATGCATTCCTCTGTTATAACCTGTCATTAGATGTCTATCTATACGATATCCTACCCTTGGATGCATTCCTCTGTTATAACCTGTCATTAGATGTCAAACAATACGATATATCACATTTCACCCTTGGATGCCTTCCTCCGTTATAACCTGTCATTAAATGTCTACCTATATCATAGTCTACCTTTGTATGCCTTCCTCTGCTATAACCTGTCATTAGATGTATACATATACGATAGTCTACCCTTGGATGCCTTCCTCCGTTATAACCTGTCATTAAATGTGTACCTATATGATAGTCTACCTTTGTATGCCTTCCTCTGCTATAACCTGTCATTAGATGTCTACATATACGATAGTCTACCCTTGGATGCCTTCCTCTGTTATAACCTGTCATTAAATGTCTGGGTATGATTCCCTCTCTTGTAGCCATCTGTGTATGATTCTATCTCTTGTAGCCATCTTTGTATGTTTTCTCTCACTTCTAACCATCCGTGGATCGCGGATGTACTTCCCTCTTTTAACCCACCCTTTCATATCTTCTTTAATTGTAACTTTCACTTGAACTCCTTTTTCCATTACCCTTGCATGTCTTCCCCTACTTAGTTCTATTTGAGATGCGGTTTGATATCCCTCACCTGTGAATGTATTGGACTGATCAGATTGGCGTTCTTTCTTCTCTTTCAGGTAGGCATCAATATAGTCACGGCTGTACGTGTCGTCCATACTGTTGTCATGCTCCTGGACCAGTTCCCATATAAATGCGTACACGGTGTCGGCATTCCGTAGAATCTGTGGAAACACAACCAAAATATCTACAGGGGCCAGTTGTTATAGGGGG